GACGGAAGTTTTGTCGACAGTATCTGTCGACAAAACTTCCGTCGACAAAACGCGGTAGTCTAGACGTACCCTACGGCAGCACAGCCTACAGCTGGGTGTGGTGAGCAGCTGCAACCAGCAAAGCGTGGGGAGAGGCTCTGGGCAGGGAAATATCACCAGCCAAGAGGCCCAGCAGGCCAGACTGGGAGAGGGGTCTGGCCACTTAGAGCTTGAGGCTGTGTGGTCACTGCCAGAGCAAGTGTGTCCAGCCTGCAGCCCCCTGCAGCACATCCAGGGCCTCTAAGGGAGACTGTGGACTGTCCTTACACTCTGCAGGCTGCTGTTTTGATGTCCCCATGCTACAGAGCAGGGCTGTGTGTTCTCATTTAACCATTCTCATTTTTTCTTATTCTTTTCTCTTTAACCTGTTGATGTTTAATAAATTGTATTTGCTTTGAACCTTATGAAATGATCACTGGGCCAAGAAGGCCTGCAGTGTAAAGAGAGCACTCGGAGTGGGGGCACCCTAACTCCTGCCCCTAGTGACTACAAGGTCGGGGATTAAGCCCCAGGAAACCTGGGCCCAGCCTTGTTGGGGTTTCGAGGACTCTGCTACTCAGGAGAGTGGACGGGGAGCCCTCAGGATCAGGGAAGCAGTGGGGTAAAGGAAGTGGGAGCGGGGACTCAGATCTTTTCGCTGGCCCATTTCACCGGGGCGATATAGAAGCCAGGAAAGTTCCCCACAATAGTGGGACCATTCCCCCGCTTACACTAACACCTGGAGATTTCAACTCATAACAGGAAGATGCAAAATAAAATAATTTTTTTTTTAAATGTTGAATCTAGGGCAGTGGTCACTGGTAGGGATCTACTGGTAGATCTTGGAGCCTCTGGCAGGTGATCTTGACTGGTTTGGCCACGAGGCTATCAAGTGCTGGCACTTCAGCTGCTCCTCCCCCTACTGCAGCTCATCTCCTGCCATTTGCCTTGGAGCTGCCTCTCCCCATCCCCCAGAGTTTCTTGCTTACTGGGCAGGATAAGGGAGGGAGAGGTGGGGCACTTATGTCAAGGTAAGCAGAGCCAGTCGGAGCCCACATCCTGAAACCCTACCCCAGTCACAAACCCCCTCCTGCACCCCAAACCCCTGCCCTAGCCCTGAGCACCCCTGCATCCAAACACCCTCCCAGAGTTTGCACCTAGAACCCCCTCAAGCACTCTAACTGCCTGCCCCAAGCTCAGCTCAGAGCCCCAAATCCCTTAATCCAAGACCCGAGCCTGCATCCCAACCTGCTGCTCATGCCTGATGAAAGGGAAGGAGGATGGAGTGAGCAGGGGCACAAAGGAGGCGGGGGGACAAAGGTGTTGGGGTTTGAGGTAGATCTTGGATTGCACTTAAATTTAAAAAGTGATCTCATGGTTAAAAAGGTTGGAGACCTCTGATGTACGGCTAGATTTAAATTCCTGTTCTGGTCTCAAAGGACAAATACCTACAAAATAATCATCCTCCTTCTGGCAAGGAATGCAATATTCTGAGACACATTTATGTTTGTGTTAAAAGGTCCAGGTGCCGACTAAAAAAGGACTAGAGTTATGATGTTCAGGCCTGGAAGCAGATCTGAACCTGCACTTCTCAAGATTTTCAGGACTTCGGGTCTAGTTACAGGGGTTTGCAGCTGTTTCTATTCCTACAGGAAATCAGACCATGAAGTCAGCTGTTTGAATTCTAAGCGTACATTTTTCCAGCTAACGTCAGCAAGAATTTACACTTGGGAATTTTTTTTCCTTTTTCTGATGGTATGAACCCTACATAGTTTTGTATTTTTATGATTCACATCACCCACTTTTTGAGACTCTCCCACCACAAGGATGGCTGAGATGTAGTCCTAAATATCTTCTCTTTTGCAGGATGGTATCATAGCAAAACTCAATCACAATTAATTAGCATAACATTTATGATATTGAGTATAATGAAATGATGACCTATGTAATTGCTTTAAAAATACAGGCAGTCCCCGGGTTACATGGATCCGACTTACATCGGATCCCTACTTACAAACGGGGTGAGGCAACCCAGCACTAGCTGCTTCCCCCCAGCAGACCAGGGAGACGCTGAGCGGCTTTTCTCAGCAGACGCCTCAGCTTGAGAATAAAGGACTGAGGGAAGTGAGGTGTGGGAGAATAAAACTGAGCTCTGGAGAAATGTTTGGCTGGAGTTTCCCCTACAATATGTACCAGTTCCGACTTACATACAAATTCAACTTAAGAACAAACCTATAGTCCCTATCTTGTACGTAACCCGGGGACTGCATGTACTCTATGTTAGAGGGTAGCAACCATTTTTGCAACATGCTAATTCTCTAGGGTTCCAGCATGACACCTATTAGACATATAACGCATACGTAAATGAAGCACTTAAAAATCAGGCATATCTAAAAGCAGTTTCCATTTTGTGGTTTTCATACACAAAACAATTCTGTGTGTGTTCCTCTAAAGCATGTTACTTAAATCTGGTAAAAACAACCTACAATTCTCTGGTCAGTATAGTCTCCACTGCTGTATGCTGTGGCCAGTGTTGAGGAGCACTTCTCTGCATACCAGGGAGAAAGACCTTGTTGAGAGGCACTGCTGATGGAGATAGTGTAGATACTATCCGTGTAACCATCGCAATCACAATTATCACCCTGACGACCACCATTCCCAGAAGCCCATACAAAAATGGAACCCTTTCCATTTCGGCCCTAAGGAAAAGAAAAATATGTTTATCTTAAGAAAGTCTACAGTCTGTTTAATACAATCCCAGCAAAACTCCACATAATTAAATAATCTGCAAATAATAGAGAATAATTGTTCATATAAATCATAGAAGTTAGAGAGATAAAAGCCAGTGAAGGATCGTTCGCTATAGTACATCAGCTTGTGATTGGTCCAGTCTACCTTTAAATGTCACAATTAACGGGGCATCTACCATGTCCACTGGAATTACATTTTGGATGCAAATCAGCAGACAGTGATCAATAAAGGCAGTTATTCCTGTAAACACATTTGGTACTGTGTGTGTTTAGGAAAAATAGACACATTTTTTCAATAAACTGAATTTTAATTAATTTCATCTGCAGTTGTGATCATAGTAATATCAGTAAGCGGTCTGTCTGATGCGTGAGATGACATTTCTGCACAACTCCTTTATTATGCCCTTTGCAGTTTGCAGTTTTTCATCAAGTAAATGCCAAAGCCATAAGCTCATTTTATTGGAAAGTCTACTCATCACTTCCAAATCTGTGGGCTTACAGCCATCAGTCTCAGGGAACTACTGCCTCCACTTCCTATTCCACTTTCCAATGTATAATGAATTAGTGGCAGCTCAAAAGATGCCGACAGCAAGGAATGTAGAGAGCTGGAGAAGCATGAAAAATGTCATGCTTTTCCTAATTGAAACAAATATTTGCAGATACATCTTAAAATCTTGTAGACTTCTCTTAATGTGCAGAGCAGAAGCTTACATTTTAATTCAGTATTATGCACATTCATTATAGAAAGTAACTAGAAAGCATATAATCAATTAATCCCCTCTACTCAACATTAACATTGTTGGTTCAGGGGACAAGTGACGATTGCAGCAATCTCAAAATAATAAACATTTTAAAAAATAGAACAACAAGTTACACTCTTCCTCTTAGGCCTCTCCCTTCTCCCCTATTTGTTTTGGGTCTGCACATCCTAAATTCATAACTCCGGTCATCTGAAAAAGTGGATTGTGCCCACGAAAGCTCATGATACCATCTACATGTTTTGTAGTTTATAAAGTGCTACCAGACCTTTTGTTGTTTTTAAAGTTTATCCTATTAGAATTGTCTGGGGTACGCCACTGCAAATCCCAATAAATGAAATAACTTGTTTTTACAACTATGGCCCCAATCCAGCAACACACTAATTCC